TTTCTTGCTGTTCCCCAAGTTTATAATGCCATTAGCGTGATCTACGATGGGCTGGTTTATGGAGAGAGCAAAGTAATAATACAGAAAGGAAATACCCATAACCTTAAGGGGGGGCGGGGCAGACGAGATTGATGGAAAGTGCAATTGTCTGGAGAAACGGCAACTCAGTAATGGAATACCTGGAGTGGGGGTGGCTCATGGATTGAAAGCAAGTTCTTTAGCTGGGTTGGCTTTGTTTTTCTTGAAGGAGGGTGAAGGGCATGGCAAGGGTGGTTTTGTTCCTTAGGGTTGGGTCCCAGGAATGGCTCCTCTGCAAGAAGGGAGACAATTGCTGACGAGATGGGCTGGTCGGACTTCCTCTGGGTCCAGCTGCGGGGGTTCAGTGCCCTTGGCCTAGGGCTTATTTCAGCACCAGGGGCAAACAGCAGTCCAGGGGTGAGCACCTTCCTCGCCTTGCCAGCTCTTCAGGTGCAGAGGACTGACTCTTGGGGTTGGTAGATTTCATGATTTCAGTTCTGGCTAAGGATGTCATCTGAGGAGCAGCGGGTCGGGAAGGGAGGTGGGGAGAACCTTTGGAGCACAGCTTTGGAAATCAAATAGAATTCATTTTGCCTCTTCTGATCTTACAAGTATTCTCTGGAGGAAACGCTGCTTGAATTTCAAGAAGAGAGGGGCTGCGGGAACCTCCTCTCTGAGCCTGTGCCCCATGGGCCAGATGTACTTCGCCTTTCTAGCAAAGCCAATCCAGTCAGAGAACAGAGCTTCCGCTGCAGCTCACTTTGCGTTTTCAGTTTAGATGAGAAATAACAGTAAAATATCCCAGCGAGGGCAAATGTGTGTCAAGGATTTCCTTTTCTGTGGAAGTTCGCCTTTGCCCCCTAAAGATCCCTGTTATTAAGTGTGTGGGCCTGATGGGACATGCAGGTCAATAGGCAGAGAAGCCTGGGGATTCCAAAACCACCTGGTAACCAGTGACTCCTCCATCTTGATAGACGTGAGGACATGGCCCTGTTAATGGCTGCCCCAGTGAACGGCCATACCGTTGGGAAGCAAGGAGCTTCAGCTGCTACTTCAAGAACAGCCTTGAGAACAGGAAGACCCCCCTCATCCCACTTCAGTTTTCCTGTACCTTCCTCTCCCTCTTCTCTTTGGTACCAGGGACTGGCAGGTGATCCAAAGATACCCAGAATTGGTATCACAATGCCATCATTCGTTGAAACAAAATCATCCCTCGTAACTGGAATATAGCTACTATAAACAACATATGTTACTGGGCATTCTATTTCTAATAATTGTAATTATGCTAGAATGCTTGCCATGACTGTGAAAACAACAATGACTGACCAGTTCTCTGTTCCAGACCAATAACTTCACCTGAATGCCCTCTTTGTTCAGGGGAGGGAGAAAGAAAAAAAGGTAATTCAACATCCCTGGTGATAGTCAACAAAGCCAGCGTTGAAACTGGAAGACGCCTGGATGAAAACCTCCCTGGAGTAAAAGATGGAGCTGGGTGGGATGAAAAGCCACCTGGCAGCGTCCCTGTTGGCTAACAAAAAGACCCTGTCTGCATTCCCACACTCAGAGCTTCAAAGGGAATAAAAACCCAGGGATTTCCAGAAGAATCACTGGGTCTGGGTCTTGCCCTCATTTCAAGGGGGTAGGTCTGCACCTGGGTGTCCAGGGAAGCAGCAGGCCTGAGGCTGAGTGAGTCACCCATTAGGTAGAACTGGGAGACCTAGCCGCAGCCTGGAATATTCACCCTGTAAGTCCACTCTGTGGGCATGGATTTCTCTTCGATGCTTTTCAGCTTATTTCCACTTATAAGTATAGAACTTTAGAGATCATGTAGACCATGGTCCATTTTATACATCTCTAAATAAATACAGATCTACAGATCTCCTATACACATGTAAGTCTCTCACAATGCCTTGTGTATGGGAAACGCTTAGCAACTAGGTAATGAAGGATGCGTGGTGACACGTAGCAAAGGTTCATAATGCCGTGCTGCAGAGAAGCTTTTTCTCTGGCATGGAGAGGAGACACGTGGGGCAGGAGTTTCTACAAAACCACCTTTCAAACATGTGATTTTGTTACCCCTTATTCCTGCTACTATCTCTTCCCAGAAACAAAAACATAGAAAACAACACAACAACATTAAAAAAAAAAATCAACGTATTTCCATTAGTAGCCAGGGGCTTTCTTTTAAGCTCTGAAGACAATGATCTCCTTCCACTGACCCAAAATGGCTGGATCAGTCAATAGTCCCCAAATATTTATTTACTTCTCTTTCCTTGGGTACATTCTCCAGG